AACTCCTTTGCTTCTTTATAGAGAAGGGAAAGCTCTGCAGCCCTCATTGTCTTGTTCTTGGCTTGACCAGCTTTGTTGTTCCTAGGAACAAATGTACTCCTTGTCTTTGGGTGGGGCTGCATGTTAGCCTCCCAGCTCCTTTAACCCCTCTGAAGAGGCCTGAACGGAAGCACTTCCTGATGCCTTGCTTTTCCTGAAGGCATACCGCTGAGGCTTCTGAGATAGAGAACAGGTGGCCTTTTTATCATCTGTAAAAGGAGAGACACTGGCCAGTTCCTCCCTGTCTTCTGGGTCAGTGTTGCTCCTGTTAGGAGCTTTAATTGTATATTTTAACTGAGCTAGCTACCTAACCCAGCCAGAGGGGAGCGGTAAATCTGATTGCTTCAGCAGCTTGTTCAAATAAATAGGGATAATAGTTCATTGGTCCTCCCGACTAATCAGAATACAAAAGGAAACATCTGCCTGTCTTAATTGCTATTTTATTGGTTAGACTTTCGCTCCTCTCCCCCTTCCTTCCTCTTTCACTGCTGAACTCCTGCTAGTTTAAGTCACAGCTAAGCAACATAGCATAGGATTCAGGTCCAGTCTCATTTAACCTTTGCCATTTAGACAAGGATGGGGTGAGAAGGACTGGAAGGCTCTGGCAAGGGGAGCTGCTGGAGCTGGGCGGGTCAGCAGTTGATAGCAATATTCATGATCACCTCTGACCTTGACTCTGAGGCAGATGGTGAGTCATTTTCTCCTCTCTTCACCTACTTGCTCCTCTATCCCTCACCGTGGAAGGGGCTGCAGAGTGAAGTTGTAGATGAGAGGCATTCTTTCTTGTGGCTTTTCCCAGCATTTGAAGACTGCTTTCTTTCCCAGGTTACTGAATGAAAGAATGGAAAATCTAAAACAGGCAAGATGTCCCTGAAGCTTTCATTTTTGCTAGCATCTGGGTCCTTGCAGAGAACTTGTACATTGCCTTTTAGTCTGCTCTGAAGCCAGCCTGTTTGTCTCTAATATGAACATACTGTTAGAAATACATTCAAGCCCCCAAGAAAGAGACCACCATTCCAAATGAAGTCTCTATAAGGCAGAAATTTAGTATTGATCAAGAGTAAACAAGAGAAATTTTATTACTGATCAAGCACACAAGGCCAAGAAATATTCTTGATTTTTATTCTAAGCAAGTGGTGACTGTCTTTTCCATTGGAGAGGGTCCCTCCCACTTCAGTCTTTCACCACTGGCTAGCTTTATAAGAATCATCAGCACAAAGGAAATAAGAAAGGGGCCAGCCACATAAGATCCAAGAATGCAGGGAAGACTTTGTATGAATCCGTTTTACTAGGTGGGGGATTAAAGCCTTTATATAAAAGTCTTACAAAGTGGAGGAGACTTGAATTCATTGTCATAAGCAAAAGTTTTCATGTAGAACCATAGACTGGTAGAGGTTGGTGTCATAGTAAGCTTCATCTGTCAGTTTGACATAATCTTAGAGTCAGCTGGGAAGAGGGAGCCTCTGTTGAAGAATTACCCCTGTCAGATTGTCCTGTGGCATATCTGTGAGACATTTTTAAATTGCTAATTGACATAGGAGGGCTTAGCTCACTGTGGGCAGTACCATTTCTAGGCAGGGAGGCCTGGAAACTAACCAGTAAGCAGCTTTTCTCCATGGTCCCTCTTCAATTCCTGGTTTAGCTCTTGCTCTGGCTTCCCTCAATAGTGTACATTGGGCTATAGAAGTCAAATTAACCCTTCCTCCCCCTAAGCTAATTTTGATCAATGTTTTATCATAGCATCAGAGAAACCAAACTAGGACATTTGGTAAAGGTGTTAATTAATATTTTAGGTTAGCATATAAAGTAATGAGTTTCATTCTGCCCCCACCCCCGCGCTTTTTGTTTTTTCTGGGTAGCATTGGCTGTCTTAGAACTCACTCTGTAGATCAGACTGGCCTCAAACTCATAGAGAGCCACCTGCCTCTGCCTTCTGAATGCTATGATTAAAGGCGTGCACCACCACTGCCTGGCTTTTGCTGGCACCTTAACACATATGTGTCATTATATTTTGCTCTCACTTGTTTTCCTCTCTCCGAGTTCTTCCTATGTTCCTCCCTCCAGCTGTTTCCCTTTCTTCCTCCAGTTGACACCAACTTCTGCTTTCTTATTACGTGTATTCCATTGCTCTATTTCCCAACTCTCTTAAAATCTCTTCCTCTCCTTTCATAATGTTCTTTCTAGTTTCATGGCCTGCACAGTCAATTTTAAATCAGGATTCTTTGTGAGAGAACAACTGTGGTATTTACCTTTCTGAGTCTGACTTATTTCACTTAATGTAGTTTCCAGTTACATCTATTTTCTTTCAAAAGTCATGACTTCGCTTTTCTTTATGACTACATTAATTTTGTAATGTATATGCATATTTTATTTCTCTATTCATGTGTTGATGGATATCTAGGATAGTTCCATTTTCTGTCTATTATAAATAGTGCAACAATAAGCATGTATGTACATGTATCTCTGGTATATTTACTTATAGTCCTTCAGATATATTCCCAAGATTGGTATAGCTGGGCCATTGAGCTCTGTTTTAGTTTTTGAGAACCCAGCATTTACTGTTACTGTTGTCTTATTATACCATTCTTACTGGAGTGTGATGAATCTAAAAACAGTTTAATTTGCGTTTCTCTGATGGCTAAGAATATTGAATATTTTTTCAAATATTTACTGGCCACTTGTATTTATTCCTTTAGGAAATATCTGTTCAGTTCACTAGCCCATTTATTGATAAGATGATTTGGGCTTTGGAGTGTGTTAAATAGGCACCTGAGCCATTTGTCTTGGGTTTGAAATGGAACATCACTTATCTGGGTGTTTAATTTTTTAAGGTATTTGTGGGTTCTAGATAACCAGATGCATACTTGGAAAAGACTTTTCTCCCATTCTGTAGGCTCTCCTTACTCTGGTGGTTGATTCCTTTGCTATACAAAATGCTTTTTTAATTTGATGTAATCCACTTTCTCAGTTTTTAAGATTATTTCTGTGCTAGTGGAGTTCTTTTCAGAAAGTCCTTGCAAATGTTATATCTTAAAATATTTTCTCTGTGTTTTTCTCCAGTTGTTTCTAAGTTTCAGATCTTATAGTAAGAAAGACTTTCATTTTATAGAAGAGAAATTAAGCCCGGAGCAGATAAATTATAGCAAGTGCTGTGACTTGAATATGAAATGTTCTTCATAGGCTCATGAGTTTGAGTACTTTGTCCTCCAGATGATGGGAAGATTTGGGAAGGTTATGGAGCCTTTAGGAGTTGGAAGCTTCCTGGAAGAAGTGGGTCGTGGGTATTAGACCTTGAAGTTTTATAGCCCATCTTCACAGACTGATCATTCTCTGCTTCCTGACTTGCCAGCTTCTCCATTCCTGCTACCACGCCTTCCCCACCAAGATGGAATGTATCTTCTTGAACTATAAGCCACAACAAACCATGCCTTCCTTAAATTGCTTCTTGAGAGGTATTTTGTCAAAACAATAATATAACAAATGCATCAGATAATAGGAAAGCTGAGACTAGCAGCAACTTTTATATTTGCTAATTTTGGGGTCCTTCCAGCTTGTTTTTAAAATTATCAAGTACAAAGCTATTTATGATAGAAGTCACACCTGTGTTATATTCCATAATGAATTACCCTAATAGGAAAAAGAAGAGCAAAGAATGCCTCAATAAGTAAAGTGGTAAGACATTTTTTAAAATGTTCAGGCTTGGGCTGGCAAGATAACTCAGTGGGTAAAGACATTTGCTAACAAACCCGGCAACCCAAGCTTGTTGCCCAGAAACTCCATGTTGGAGATAGCTGACTCATGCAGGATTTCTGTCCCCAGTGTGCCCTGCGGTGGGGCGTGGGGACATGTGTATGCACACAGTACACACACCTTGAAAGAAGCAGTATGAATGAAAGGACTCATCTCTTACCCAGGAAATGAGCTATGGAGAGTGTCATGTAGGGGTTGGAGATCCAGCCCAGCGGTAGAGTTCTGGCCTGGCATTCATGAGACCTCAGGTTCAATTCTCAGTATGGATAAGTAAAAATGTAGAAGTGTGCTTGAGTGTTGTAGTTATCTGAAGGACAGTACCTTGGCAGTACCAATTGTTTTTATTCTCTGCCTTCTTAGGCTTGACTTCTAACATTCAGAATGTTCCTGCTTCCTCATTCTTTTGTTTCTATGATTCTGTGTAGTTAGATACCAACCTAGGGTGGGCAGCAGCAGAGTATCAGAGAGCTACTACTGCTCAGAATTAAGAGAGTAAGACGCTCCTCAACATATATTAGAGAGTCAGGTAGTATTAACTAAATATTGCAAGAAGTCTTTGTTGAAGAACCACTGCCTTGGGAATTTGGGAAAGAAATGAAGCAAGTAAGAATTGGGTGACCCTTAACATCTGTGCCAGGAAAAACAAATTCACTCAATTGTAGGTGGGTTTTCCTTCTATGGAGAAGGAATGTGCAAGCCAATCCTGTGGATCCTAGCTTGCTGCGGTCTGTGTGCTGTCAGGTTAGAAGTACAGGATCTTCCTGCTTGGAGTTTTCTATTAAGTTTAAGGTCTTTGGAGATCCTGAATATTTATATCATTTTCTTTGTCTCATCCTAGCGTACATCTTACTTTTCTTAGTAATCCAATGGAGTGTTTGCCTGCAAATATCTGACAAAGCATTGTCTACCTAACCACAGTTGCTAGGTAGGATGTGGCTCTCAGGCCTCCTTTTGGGACCAATTGAAAAGTCAAAGGCTATAACCCATTTTCCCTCTACATGATTACCTTTACTGGGCTATAGAAAGGGCTCGTTTCATTTCATTAAAACTCTTTGAGTAATCTGACCATAATTGGTTATCTGATTTGCTAGGATAAATAATGGTCTGTAATTGAGTCTGTGTCATTTGCAGAGGCTGTGCTGCTCTTGCCTTTGCTGCGCCTCCCATCTCCTTCTATTTTTCAATTAACCTCCTTCCTCTTTTCTTTACAGAGTAAAGAAGTTGGCCAACAGCTCCAAGATGATTTGATGAAGGTTCTGAACGAGCTTTATTCGGTAAATCAGATCGGCTGCCTGGCTTTGTGGTCATAGAGAGAAGCAACATTTGAAAGTTTGCAGCCATAGTCATGTCAACAACGGAACTCAGTTGAGGCTGAGGACAGTGCACATTCCCTATTGGGGGTGACCCCACCCATATATTTTTCCACACTCAATTTTTTTCTAAACCAAATGAGCCAAAAATATTTTTTCCAGTTGTGCAATCTTACTGTGACTTCATCTGGGGCACCACTGAGAGAGAGCAGCGCAGGGCTAGGTTACCAGCACAGCTGTCACCATTACCAACAAACTAGGAACCCCAAATTTCATGGCAAAGAATGTAGCCTACATTGCACTACTTCTTATTGGAAAACATGTATAGTGTTAAGTTATGCATCAGATCTTATATTCATTGTGGTTTAGTTAGAGCAGATCCTGTAAAGGGAAGCACAGATTCCTAACGTCTGCAATGTGAAGTACCGTTTCAGACCAAGAGAGTGTTGCAAAAACACAGCAGAGAGGTAAGCTATGGACTTGGAAGAAACAGCGAGTCTACTTCAAACTCTCTCAGACTGCATATATAGGCAGTCTCATAGGCAGATATATGCTATGTGCCCCAAAAGGCTGGTGGTTATTTTGTTTCAGTTATGTTTTATTAGTTATATTGAAAACATGCACCCACGAAGGAAGTTCCTGTTGTCATAGAAGGAATGCTTCAGTTGTACAACTTGAAGCTTTTATAGACCCTTTCCAAAGTTTGATTGTATCAACACTGTGTCTAATTTTCCAGAGTTGCCCTAATCTTTTTGAAGATAAAAATGATTTTCTTTATTTGCTTCTGCCTCACTCCCTCTTACCCCTTCCTTGCTTCACTCCCTTCCTTCACAGGATGGGCAGGCAGTGGTAACATGCGTCACAAGCATTTGAGATCAGAGAATTCCACATTCCTGTTCCAGAAGCCTAGGTGTGGCCATTATATCATGGCAACTGTTGGTAAATAGAGCAGGGTGGTCATCTAATTTGCCTCCAGTGATGCTCCAATTGTTTTGAATTTCTACTCAGTGACTCTTATATTCTGAAGCCAGATAATAGCTGGTACCTTTTGTACCCCTAGTTTTCATTTCTCTCAAATGAAGTTAATACTTTTAAAAATAGAAGCATGACATTGTGAGCCATTTTCAAACTGAATGAGTTTCCTGAGCCTTATATTTTCATTGCTTTACTTCTCTTTATTTTTAGAGCATCTCAAAGGTACCAAGAAGAGCTGAGACTTGCTTCTGTAGAGAATTTTCTAGGCCCAATAAAAAGCTTCTTGGGCCTTTGCAATTTGCTGCTGTTGCTCAGGAGTCAAGCAGCAAACCACAGACCAGCTCAGATTCAGCATACTATGTTTGCAGTGAGGCAGCAGAGGAAGAACTAACTTAGTTTTTACCCTGTGTTGTAGATCACTTCATAAGCTTTGATTTAAAAAGCAAGTGATAGTGTATAAACTGTGCTGGAATGAGGAAGAAAACTGTGGAGCTTGCTGGTTTGTCTGATAAAGGACAAGCTGGGAGACCTTACCCCTACTCCCTATTTACTTATTTTTAAAAGATGTTTTGTGTGTGCATAAGGGACCATTCTTGGAAGTTGATTCTCTCCTGCCACCTTGTGGGATCTGGGCATCAAACTCAGGTCATTAGGCCTCTACCTAATCAGTTAAGACTTCTACGATTAGTCTTCAGATCAATATTCTTTAGTTGCTTTTGTGGCCACCATGTGCCCTCAGTTAATACAGAGCATAAAGCTTTCTCATTGGCATTCACATGCAGCTTTGGTGAGTGTGCTCCCCGCTGCTTTGAGGTGAATTGATATACTTGTCATTTGTCTAAGTTCCAAATAGGACTTAGATATTTACCTCTAAATGAAAAGAGAAAAATAAAAGAGGACACCAAGAATTTCCAGAGAGGGCCAAACAGTCTGGTACAATGAGTCTTAAGCAGAGTGATCGCCTTTCCCCCCACCCCCACAAAATGGAATGTGTGGTGATGTCTGCTGATGTTTTCAGTTGTCATATCTGAAGGGTTGATAGCCTAGTAACACCTAAAAAGTTGGGGCCAAGTATGTTGCTAACATCCTACAATGTACAGAACAGTTTACCAGCTCCAAATGTCAATAGTACCAAGACTGAGAAACCTGGGCGTGCTGACTGTAGGCTACTAACTTAGACCCCCACCCACCCAGGTTCTCTCCTGTCCTTACTGTGAGCTGCATACATTTAGAGGGATACTGCCCACTGCAAAAGTCAGCATGATGATGAGAATTGATGTGAAGTTTGTGGGTTTCCATCCTACTCTTGCCCAGAAGCAGCAGCAAACACCTGTATATTCTGATACCTGCATGCCATGTGGCTGTCAGTGGTCAAGGAATTCATATTTCCAAAAATATAACAAACTATAGTTAAGAACCAAGTGAGTTTGAAGTTTCTGTGCAGGTCATTAGAAAAGTTGCAGGATGGAATTAAGAGTTGTTGCTTTTGTAGGGTAAGATTAGTTTAGGGCTGATCTGAAAAAGGCCTGAGATTAGGGTGACTGTCCATCCATTTTTGCTTGTTAGTGTAGTGCTCATAAGAGAGAGCCAGATGTGGTCAGACAACTATCATTCAGCACTTGAGAAGCAGAGGCAGGTGAATCTGTTGAGTTTGAGGTTAACCTGGTCTACACAGTGAGTTCCAGGCCAGCCAGGGCTACACAGTTTCTTGGGACATATTTTTAGTGCTGAATTGGTAGTCTTGAGGAAAGCAGGATGTTAGTCACCATGCATGAGATAGCGGTTTCCTCAAGTAGGAAGTTGATACTACTGCATCAACTTTGAAAAGCTATTTGCTTTACATAAACTTTTTGGGTATTAGGAAGAGAACAGGGAGAGTTTTTTCCAAGAGCATTTCCCTTATTTGCTCTATGTAAGAAAGTTGCTTTCACTGATCCTGTCAACAACAGAAATTATTTGTGACTCATGTATCACTGGAAAAGAGATCCAGGTATTAAGAAACCCTCTCTTTTTCTCAGTGCTCTTCTTGCAGCTGCCCTAACACCCTTGAATACTTATCTGAGGGGACCAGTTGCTTAAGGGTTGATAATCTAAGTGCTTTCAAACCTTGTTGACCTAAGGGGCAGAGCCCAGGTAGTTCTAAATAAAGATGCCTCTGAACAAGAGGTTGAGAACCAAGTAGCCAGCTGCTCCCCTGCACCTTCCTCTTCTGTTTGAAGGGGCTTTGATTTCCCTGACTTAGCATTTGGTGCCAGGGGGAGTTTCCCACAGCTGTTCTTCAGAGAGCAGTCCCAGTGATTCTTGTGCATATGTATGCCAGTCCATTATCCCCCTCTCCATCACAATGAGCTGGCTAGCTTGTAAGCCTTAGTAAAATGGTTTTCATTTCCTTTCTGATGTTGTAGGAATGCCTTTGAAGTTAGAGCTCAGTGCTTCCCAAAGAACTCTGGGATTGTCTGCCTCAACTGTACATAGAGGCTGTGTCTGGAAAATCCCAGGAAGACCCCACAGGAAAGAGTGTGTATGCAGGCAGGGAAGCCATATGGATTGGCTATGAAGAGCCAAGGAAATGCGAGAGGGGGGTCGGGGGAGGGGGGACTGTCTTTACTCCACTGTCTTTACTCCGGAGGTGTTAGGCTTTGTACCATCCCTGAATCCCTGAGTATGTCTCCTTGACTTGGTGCAGCAGCTGGTTGCAGAGCTGCTTTAAATTGAAAGTCAGCACCTGTTCCCTTGAAACATTGTCAGCTAGTAGTCCCCAGATACTGTTTGTCTGTTTGACCCTATCATTAGGCTCTAGGGATACAAAGACAAGAGAGAGTGCTAAATTTAAGGCATTTCATTTTCATGTTGGGGAGAGAGGAAGCAGCAAGCAAAATGAGGTAATTCCTTTACATATCTGGAGGGGAGGTCATGCTCCTTGGAGAGGTACAAGAATTAAATCTTAATTGCCAGTTGCCAAGAACTCTTAAGTTTTTCATCCTATATTCTCCCTAACTCCCTTTACTTACTGAGGACTTAGTTCATGGTGCTGTATCTTTTTCTCTCTGGGGCTCTTATTGATAAACTTTTCAGCCTTTTTTTTCTCTCTAATACCGTGTTTCCTGCAAATTCTTGATCTTGCTTATCCTAGAAAACATTAGGAACTTGTGTGTGTGGTAGTGGTTGTCCCGCGCTACCGTCTCGCCAGCAAGCACGACACGGGACACTTAGGATCCTTCTGCAGAAAAGCTTTAATGCGTCTTGAAAGAGAGAGCATAAGCTTACATTGCGGAGACCCAGGACGAGGTGAACCCAGCCCTTATAAAGGAAAAAGTCCTCACTTCAGACGTGTCACTCTTGGATTGGTCCGCTGCCCATTATCCCAGATGATGCCTCGGAAGTAGGCAGGGACACAGCAGTAGAAAGTTACCAAGCACAGGCGCTGGGATTAAAGGCGTGTGCTACAACACCTTGAACTCACAGAGATCTGCCTGTCTCTGCCTCCCAGGCATTGGGACCAAAGGCGTGTACCACCACACCTTGAGGTCACAGAGGTCAATCTCTACCTTTGTCCCTTGAAGCAATGGAGAATGTGGTTGCGGCCCTCCACAGGTGGTGGTGGGGTGCTTTAGAGACAGAGTTTCTCTATGTAGCCCTGTCTGTTGAGAAACTCTCTCTGTAGACCAGGCTTGAGGCCAGGGATCCACTGCCTCTGCCTACCGAGTGCTGAGACTAAAGGCATATGCCATCACACTTGGCTGCCTGCTCGTATTTTAAAGCGAGACATATATGACATTTCCCAACTATGGAAGAGAAAGCAAAAAAAAAAAAAAAGTCATACTGTCTTTGAGAATTCAGTTTCTTAGCTTGGATAATGTTTTATTTTCTTTCAATGAGAGGTTTCTTTACATTCTTTGAGAGCAAAGAACAATATAAGCTGTTGTTTTATTCATTGTTATTTAGTATGAGAATTCTTTGAGTGTTCTGATCTCTCATGTTCATTTGCAATGTTTCCTCCTTATCCTGTACTTCATAAAATAAAAATTTACTATTTTAAAAATTACTTTTAACACTGGGCATTGGTGGTGCATGTATTTAGTCCTGGCACTTGGAAGGCAGAAGAAGGTGGATTTCTGTGAGTTTGAGGTCAGCCTGGTCTGCAAAATGAGTTCCAGGACAGCCAGGACTATACAAAGTTTCCTTCTCGAAACCACCTACCCCCAGCACACGCAAAAACTACTGTTATAATGCTTTATTCTAGTGATTAAATTCCTTAATTACATTCAAGTGAAAAAAGGAAAAAGGAGTTCCTTATCTGTCCTTCCTCAGCAAGGAAAGCAGATGCCTTTCTTACCTCCTAACAGGAAAAGTCGTGATCTAGTCAGATCCTTCTTAGAAAAGCCTCTTTAATACCATTGGTTGTTGGTATTCAGAGTATAAGCAGGGTAGAGCTTCCAGGAAATGTCAGTTTGGAGTAAGGTGAATATTTAAATTACTCTGTATCTAAAATGAGACATAATTGAGACTACATTGCACCTCTTTGTTATTTCTTATTGCATCTCCATGTGATCCTAAGTACATCCACAAGATCCCAGGTTTCCCCAGCCTCAGCACCACTGACATTCTAAAAACAGACACTTTATGCTACTAGCAACCTCTAAGTTTCTAAAATCAAAAATATTTCCAGACATTGCCAGTTGTTCTCTGGGGTCTACGCAACCTCTGAATGAGGCACTGCTCTCAGCTGAGCAGTTCTCCCTTTGGAATTTCCTCAGCTGTCCTTTAACCTGCCTCCCAGCTAGTTCAGCTTCATTCCTATGCAGAAGGTAGTCACTTAGTAGGTAAGATGTAGACTTTGGAGTTAGATAGACCTAGGTTTGAATTCTGACTCTGCCATTTACTAGTTGTAAGACTTTGGGTGCCATAGGTAATGTCATTGAGACCTACTTCCTTAATCATTAAAAGTAGAAATACCAACATGTCTTTCATAGAGTTAGCATAAGGATTAAGTCAAATGGCACACATAAAACTGCTGGCATACAGCAGGCACTGAATGCTAGAGATTATTGCTAATATTGAATAGTGTGTTTCTGTTGTCAGCCACACAAAAGTACACCCTACTCCTAGATTTTCTATTTCTCCTCTTCAAAGAAACTTCATGGCATCAAAGTTTCAGCACTCAAGAATTTCCAATTGCTCGATTTGTTATCAAGTGTTTTAATTTGGAAGCTACCTGTGTGGAAACAGAAATTTCCTGCAGAGTAGGGTCGGCCCCTGTGTATATTTGGGAATACCAAAAATTACGTGAGATTCAATCTTCCTGGCCTTCTTACTAAAAAAATCATATTTAACTCCTGGATAGTAGCTCCTTTGGAAAATTTGAAAATTACATCCTGTCTCACCCCCCCCCCCATTTTTTAAAGGCAAGGTCTCTGTATAGTCTTGGCTGTCCTTGCTATATGGACTAGGCTAGCCTTGAATTCACTGAAATCTTCCTGCACTACTTCTGGAGTACAGGAACTAAAGACATGTACCACCACACCTGGCCCTATGTCCTTCCTTTTATGTTACTTTGTGCTTGTGGCCAATCCCAGTTACACTTATATGAAATTTCTTCTTTCCTGCCTCTTATCTGAATTGTGCAGTCTACAGCCTTCACTGGACATTGTCTGGGGTGTAGATTGTTACATGAATGAAACTAACAGGGTGGGATGTGGGGGGGCCACTTGGCACAAAGCCAAAAATATATTAAGTGCTCAGCAAGTGGTAGTAGCTATTGATATATTTCTGTGAGAGCAAGTGTGTAATGAAGATAAAGCAGACCATAACTTTAGGAACATTTCCTTCTTCATTGCTTTATATTTGAAAGTTATAAAATTATAGACTACACCTTTCGTCATGTTGCCTTTTGCCCTTTAGGTCAGAGTGAGGTGTTCTTATTTCTTATTTTACTTAGTATTATAAGGTGACTTAGCAATAGAAATTACTGAGTCAATATAAAGGTCATGCTTACAGATAGTGATGAATAAAAGTAAAAAATGATAAAATTGATATGAAATCATTGCAATAGTATGTTCTATTCTTACATGTAGTCCTTAATATACCTGTGCCGAACCAGACATTTCTGAATTTTCCCCATAGAAAAATGTAAATATTGCTTCATATAGGATAGGTCTGGCTGAGTCTATTAATCTTTAAAATAGAGTTGACGCCATTGGCTTGACCTCTGGGTGGGAAATATCTTGCAGGTCATGAAAACATATCACATGTACAATGCCGACAGTATCAGTGCTCAGAGCAAACTAAAGGAAGCAGAGAAACAAGAAGAGAAACAAATTGGTAAATCAGTGAAGCAAGAGGACCGGCAAACCCCCCGCTCCCCTGATTCCACTGCCAATGTCCGCATTGAGGAGAAACATGTCCGGAGGAGCTCAGTGAAGAAGATTGAGAAGATGAAGGAGAAGGTATATGTGCTCTGGCAACTGTAGAGAAAGGGATGATCAGAAGGCAAGATTGGTAGTAATTTTCCCAGTAGGTATCATGAAGAACTAAACAAAGTAGCTCTGGGTTCCTTTAGTGCCTGCTGACCAGAGAATCCTTCTGTGTCTTGCCATGAGTCCTGGCTCTTGGAAAAACCTAAGCATATGAACTCTCAGACTTTAACTTCAAGTATATCGATAAGAATCAGTAGTCACTTTTCTCAGCTCATTTTCCAAATTAGGTGAAATGTCTTATTGCTTTGAGAAATGGGAGACTGTGGAGCTTGTGTTTCAGTTTAGATACCAGTGTTGAGGGAGAGAAGTGGAAGTACCCTCTCCAGGGTGAGAGCAAGGATGGAGAATAGTATATGAAGATAGACTCAAACCACATTCATCTCATTAGTCAGACTTAGAATTCAGCTTAAAGCAGATGTACACAGGGAGTAGCAGCAAAGTGGAGGCTCTTGATATGCTGTCCTTCATCTCTCACAGAACGTTTTCGACCTCTTTTAAAAATGGGTCAGCAAGATGGCTCATCAGGTAAGTTCATTTTTCACTAAGCCTGACAACCCAAGTTTAATCCCAGGAACCCACAGGATAGGAAAGAAATGACTCCTACAAGTTGCCCTCCAATTTCCATAAAAACACAAAGGCCTGAATGCATTTAAACACACACACACACACACACACACACACACACACACATGCATACTACTTCACATGAAATAAATAAACATTTTTAATTTTTTTAATTAAAAAAGAAACTAAAAGTGAACATATGTTTTATTTTCAGCGACAAGCCAAGTACACAGAGAATAAGCTGAAGGCTATTAAAGCCCGGAATGAGTACTTACTGGCTTTGGAGGCAACCAATGCTTCTGTCTTCAAGTACTACATCCATGACCTGTCTGATATTATTGATGTAAGTACTAAAGCTGGGGTGGGAGGCTGTGGGCATCTCTTGCCTCATTTCAGAAATGGAGTCACTAATTCACTCTTTCTGTGTTTAACCATCTCAGCCATTTTGAGAACAATTTGAAGATAGTGCCATGATCCACTGTGTGAAGGTGATGCGCTTCACACTGCTGTTCTTCATGCTGCACAGCATTCATGAGAGAAAAGCAACCATCTGTAGTATTGACTGACACCCAGAGAGTTTAGTGATTTATCCAGAGTTAGTAAAAGGATGGAACAAAATTGACACCAAATTCTGTTCCTGAACCCATGTTCATGACTGCTGTGCTCTTCTGTTTATCAAAAACTAGTCTCTTACATCAGACTATCAGAAACTTGTGGAAAGCAGCAACAAGAAGAGTTAAAATGCCATCCTTATATTTACATATCCACTCCTGTTTCCTGGTGTTTTCCCATCTCATTGTCACATCGCCCTTACTGTCTTAATCTGTGATCCAGAGAGTTAAGAGACACGCTTGCCCAAGGTTATAGGTTTGCGCTGTGCTGCAGATTAGGGTCCTGTCTAGAAGACATCCAGATGCTACTGATATCTGCCCAGTTCTCTTTTGAGATGTGGCACAAAAATGAGAGAGAAGAGGATTAGTTTGCATGTTTGTTTTGTAGGCAACCATTTGTCTTTGACCTCCTGGGTTAGTCTTTGTTGCTTCTGCACAATAAAATGTCTCTCACATCCAGACTGCAGTCTGGCCCAATTCCTGGGCAAGCTTTATATGAAACTATATAAGCATACCCTTTCTCATGTCTCCTTCCAACCACCAAAGTGGGTCTGTAGCCAACTGATTGAGCATCAGCAGTCCAGTCTTAGGACACCAGCAGTATCCATTCTGAGACCTGGTGTTTGCCTTAGGTTCTTGGCAACAGCAGCTGAGCTTGCAAGATTCTGGCCCAAATTGCACATGATTTTCTACCTTAAAACCATATTGCAAGTACACCTGCTGTGCTTTATATCATGTGGGGAATCTGGGCTCAGATTCACTATTGTATAATTAGTTAGCACATCTTAGGCTTGTGCTCAACTATTCTGGAACTCTGCTTTATTTCCTACTCCTCTGCCCTAGTAAAATAAAGACCTGCACAGTTTAAATCTGTCCTGTATTAGGGTTGCTGGGGAACTTCTCTAAAATACAGGCTGCTTTCCTTTCAGCCAGGGAGTTTTGATCAGCAGGTTTTGGCCTTCTAACGCCTTAGATATCATCGTCTCAGCTGGTAAGCGGAGCCTTGGTCTCTGTTCAGGCTCCTTTGTTCTCTCTGCTTGTTGATGCCAATCTGAACACTGTCCTTCAGTGGAGGTCAAAACCCTAAACCAGTCCTTTTATTCTTCTGCTTCACTGTTGGTGGAGACCCATTCTCAGCATGAGGAAGACAGTCACTTTTTATGCTCACTTTCTGCTATTTACTCCACATTTGGTAAAATAAATAAGATTTAAAAATTAGGCCAGACAGGGTATTTTACCCCTTTTACTGGGTTGTCCTCTTTCTTTTGCCTCTAGAGGATATGTGTACCAGTTTCAATAAATTGCTTACTTCAGGAGAAAAGAGGCTTTTGCTGTATGAATTACAACCTTTGTAATGAGTAGGCACTTCATCAGGCATGAGCAGATGTCTTAAAAACCATATAAGAAGCAAACTGTTCTATACTTTTTTCCCCCTTAAAATAAATAAGTAGCCTGCTGAGAGTCTGACTTTGATAGGTTGTGATTTGAAGAGCCATTGGAAAAGAAGACAGCCTTTGTAGTGTTTATTCGACAGGGTATGGGTTTAGGGGTGGTGAACAAGTCCAGGGTGGCAGCATTCTAGGCCATGAGTAAATTTGTTCTTGTTTGGGTTGTATTTTGACTGTATCTTATTTTGTTTGTTGTTTGGTATTTTGTTTTTGTAGAACAAAGGTTGCTATTTTTGTTCTTTGGGTTTTTTTGTTTTTGTTTTGTTTTATCGGGACAGGGTTTCTCTGTGTAGCATTGACTGTCCTAGAATTTGCTTTGTATATCAGGCTGGCCTTAAACTCACAGAGATCCACCTGTCTCTGCCTCCCAAAAAGCCGATACTACTACTATTCTCCATAACCACTTAGTTCATTTATGGGCAAGGTGTGTGTTCAGCATCAGCGTTATAAATAGAATGTAACTGTTTTCACCTAAGACATATTCACACACTCTAGTTTTCTCAAACCATGATCCTTTAAGGGAGCAATAAAATCATTTTTGTACTTTTAAATTATTAAACTAGACTAGGGTAGAAAATAACAGATCATATCACAATATTATATGTCTTAAGATCTTTTTTTGAAATTTTTATGTTAGATGTGTGTGTGTGTATGTGTGTGTGTGCTTATGCATGCATGTGTGTATGTGTGTGTGATGCATTTCTTACTGTGAGCTTAAGTTAAAATGATGGTCACTGTATGTCTCTTTTAAGATCCAAGAGGACAGGAACCAAGACTTACTTTACCTTAAGTAGTAATATGTAGCTTAGCACATAATTCATTAAAGTGGGAAAAATGATCTCCTAAGTCAATATTTGCTTTTTAATTTTATCTTTTTAATGTTCTTTACATGTGTAATTTACATTTAATGATTAACTAAGTTGATTGTTTGGTTTGATTGTTACAGTTTGAAGAGTTTTGACAAATTTACATATTCTTGTAACCTCTATTTTTTATCAAGAATAAGTATCATTAGCCACCCATGGCAGTACACACCTGGAATCTCAGCACTTGGGTGGTGGAAGCCTTAAGGTCATTAAGGGCAGCCTAGGCTCTGAGACTATTTCACAACAAGGAGACAGACAATATGAAAGATACATTCTCATTACTTCAAAAGTTCTTGTTTCTTAACTTCAAGGCAACCACTGTTCTAACTCGTTCATCCCTAAGTTAATGTTAACTGTTGGAAAATGACATAAAGTTAGGATTATACAGAATATAATTTATTTGCTTATTATTTGAGAGTGAAGATGTACATACCACAGTGTATGTGTGGAGGCCAAGGAGACAACTTTGTGGATTCATTTTTCTCTTTCCATTTCCACCTTTATGTGGTGTTTTCATTTCTATTGCTTTGATAAAATACCTTAACAAAAAGCAACTTCAGAAAGAAAACATTTAATTACAGTCCCAAGTTATAGTTCATCATTTTGGGGAAGTCAAGGCAGGGACTCAAATAGCTAGTCATATAATATCCTTAGTCAAGATAATAAACGCCCTTGTCTGCACCTGCCTGCCGCCTGCCTGCTGTTTGCTTATTTGCTTGCTTTCAGTTAGTTTTCTTTTCTCGTTTACAGTTTGGGACTCTATAGAGGGAATTGGTGCTGCCTGCCATAGGCTGGGTCTTTTTCCATAAGTTAACACTCAAAGCAGCCCTCCACAGATGTCTCCATAGACCAAGTTGATCTAGATAATTTCTTGTTAAGACTCTTCCCAGATGACTTAGGTTACATCAGGTAGACAATTAAAACAAACCAGGACACATGGGCTCTAGGGATTGATCTCAAGTCATCAGACTTATATAACAAGTGTCTCTACCCTCTGAGCCACCTTGCTGGCTCTAGAATGTAGGTTTTTTTCACCCAGGATATTTTTTTTAGCACCATCCACATTGTTTGCATCTATCAATGGTTTCTCCCCTTTTTATGTTGTTCTATGCAATTAAAAGTGCCCAAACTGTTCTGTAGCAAAGAAACCAAGAGTGAGTAGGGAGCCTGGGTGTATTGGCATCATGATCTCAATGGTATCCAGAAGTTGCTTCAAGACATGGGATTTGTGTCATTCCAGTCCATTGCTGCATGTGTCGTATGCCACCATTCTACTTTTTTCTACGGGTTTAACTCAACCTGTACTTAAGGCACTGATCATAAATAAAAAGTTATTTTTAATTGATGTCACTAAATTGACATAAGAACTAGCCTTCAATTTCTTTTTTTGTTTGTTTGTTTGTTGTTTTGTTGTTTTGTTTGTTTTTTTGAGACAGGGTTTCTCTGTAGCTTTGGAGCCTGTCCTGAAACTAACTCTTGTAGACCAGGCTGGTATCGAACTCACAGAGATCCGCCTGCCTCTACCTCCCAAGTGCTGGGATTAAAGGCGTGCGCCACCACCGCCCTGCCCTTCAATTTCTTTGTATAGCATAACAAAAGATTTAATGTAAACTCAGACTGTAAGAATTCACATATTAAAAAAAACTTGACTCTAGACAAAAAAGGTATTTTAATCTCAGCTGGTAATTTCTAGGAACTGGGGGCTCCTTGCTGTATAATTTCCCTGCTTGTGTACATATCTCTTTGCCCAGTATCAGATAGGTAAATGAAGTACACAGCTTTGTCATCATGGGTAGCTGAATGTTGTGAGGGCCAGGTACCTGGATAGAAAGTCTGTGATGCCATCCATATACACCCAAATTGGACATGAAAGAACTTGGTTTTCCCACTGTGGTGTTTTATTGAAGGCAGTTGTTTTTGTCTTCCATATAAACTTGAAGGGAGATACAAAACACTCATTTGTCTTTTCTAGGTCTTCTCTAGATTTTCTGAGGGAGAGTAGCAGAAGGGATAATGAACTGTGGACAGATTGGGATGGTCTGTTACTCAATTTTATATAAAAAATGTATTTCTCCTGAGAATTTTTATAACACTTGTGTAACACAGAAAAGCTAAGGGAACCTAGCATGGCCATGGGACTCATCAAAATCAAAGTGGAAAGCATACTCTGTTTCCAGTATAAACAAAATTGTGTGTTTCCTCTACTCACTGGGATTCTCCTGGGAAATATTTAAATCTCATTTACTTAACCTTACCCCTATAAATATGTATATGGCCAGGGTCCACATTTCCTAAGCAACTTAGGCCATGACAGAACCAGAGGGCACATTCTAAGTTTGACCCTGACTGACTGGCACAGAAAAGCAAAAGCTACAGGATGGTCATCCAGAGGCAGAGCTCCAGCATAGGAAAACTCCCTGAAAGTCTTAGATTATAGACAGCAAAACATGTGGGTCAGTACTCAGCCCATCTAGATGATTTCTTGAGAGGCTAGAGTTTTTACCTGTGCTGTCAGTCAACTTTATTGAATGTCTTCTGTGAATAAGACCTTATAGGAAAAATTATAAACAAGAGAAAGATACTGGAAAGACCTGCATTCTGTTTGGGGTAATATGAAATGACCGGCCTCAGAATGACTGTGTGTACTAGGGTCATATGAGGATGAATGCAGTTGGGTGTTAGTGGGACCAGGAATGCAGGGCTGGCTGACTTCCCAGGGGCCAAATTTAATTTGTATCTTAAAGATTGAGTCTGTTTCCAGCAGGCGAAAGTAAAGGGTAATGTTTCAGGTAAAGAACTGCTAGGAACTGAAGGGCAGAGGTCCATAGATTGGGGGATGCTGGTGATTGGTGTTAGTTTTGAGTTCACACAGTACCACATATGTGTGAAATGTATTATCCATTTGCCACACAACCATCAACAAAGCAGGTATTACCCCCATTTTTGGCCAAGAGGGATAAATTAGCTTTCTAGGCTAGAGGCCTATGTTTTTTTAACACTCTGTCCTATGCAGGGAGTTTGTCACTGGAATTTGGCAGAAGAGGCTGAAGGTGGGCATAAAGAGAGGTGACATTGAGTAGATAGACTACACACATTGTAGTTTTGTGATGTGGGATTCCCCTCTGTATGCCATGAATATGTTTTATTACCATTGGTTAATAAAGAATCCGCTTAGTTTTTGTTGCTAATGCTGAGTCAGGAAGCTTGCTCTTAAAGGAACTGTGCCTCTGCTTGCTGCCAGCAAACAGAGCCCACTTGAGAAAATGCTGCTACTAAGAAGCCGGGCTTAACTCTGTTCTTTTTTGTCTAGACTTCCTTCCCAAGCTCTCTCAGTTTTTATGTGGATGTAGTTGCCCCACGCTGGCACCATTTTGTAAGCGGAGACTATGCTTGCTTTTCCGACTGCCCAGACGCAAATAATCACACAAAATTATATTTATTACAAAACGGTTTGGCCAGTTGCTTAGGCGTCTTTCTAGCTAGCTCTTACATCTTAAATTAACTCATTTCTATTAATCTGTGTATTACCACTAGGCTGTGGCTTATCAGTACTGGCATGTTACTCCTTTGGCAGCTACATGGTATCTCCTTTACTCTTTCATATCTCTGTTCAGATTTGCCACCTGGCTTTATTCTGCCCTGCCATAGGCCAGAGTAGCTTTTTTTATTAAGCAGTGGTAATAAAACATACTCATAGCATGCAGAAGGGAATGTCACATCAGTTTTGATTTTGTTTTTTGTTTTTTTTTTTACCCATTTTAATTTGTGTCAAGTTATATTGCTTCACTGAATTTTCATCTTCCTTTGTGTGGAAAGCTAAGATAATACAGAGATAATACAGACTGAAGTGGGAGTAGTTATGAAGATTAAGATGAAGACTGTACAAAACACTTAGTTGACTGTCTGAGACTTGAACATCTTTAGTGGACAGAGGCATTCTTTACATGTACAAACTGAAGGTGAATATACCTTAGGCAGGGATAAGTGTTTGAAGTTCTTCAATGGGGGCATGATAAAGTCACATTTTATGACACTGAGCAAACAATACTTTTGTAAAATAAGGTGTGGATTAGGATACAGATAGTAAAAATGGAGAAAGTGAAGTTTCCAGAAATATCCCTACTTCCCCCTAATTTTCTCTGAGTCCTCCACCACACAAGGTTGGCAGTGTTACACCAGTAAGTATAGAGTTCATTCTAGGGAATACAGAGAGCTAGGCAAGAGGATTTACAGGTTCAAAGGCCTGATTAGTTCAACAGCATCTCCTAGAGGAGGAAGGGACCCTGCACGTGCAGTCTCCCAATCAGCCGCCTTTGTCTAGATTCCTTTTGCTCTTCCTCCAACTGAATTTAATGTTTTCCCATCCTCTGGCTATAGTTATGCTGTCGCTGCTGTTACTCTGCTGAAGCCAAGCACCTGCCAAAGTCTGTTGGCACTGCACCAGAGCTCAGCTCTATGTGTGCTCCATTGCTGATATTCTTGTCAGATGCCTGGAAGGAGGCGGTCTGTCACATGTTTTTTCTTCCCCAATAGTGACTGTTCCTGAAGTGATCATGATGAGAAGGAAATGCTAGGGAAATTAATTTGATGCTTATTGATGCAGTGAAATTACAATCAAGCAGATGGCCTTACTCTATCCAGTGATTTTTCTCTGACATTTCCTCTCAGGATCTGGACATCAAAGCTGTGTAAATAATAGAGGTGATAATTGATGGCCAAGGAATTTAGATCTCTGGGTCTGAAGGGGTAGGGAATGTTGTCATGGTGTTACAGAATGCCATTGAAAAGAGCCTTGGGGATTATGTTTAATCCAACGATTTTTCAGGATTTTTTTTCTTAAGAACTTATTCTTCAAACCAGACCACACATAGAATCCCAGTTTATTAAACTGAAAAGTGATCAGAGCTGTCTCAGTTGAAATAAAGATGAAAAGACCTCCAGGCCAACTAAGTAGCTCTCCTCTCCCCTTCTCAAGGGTAACCTGAGTGCTGACCCTGCACTTCAGAGCTGTGATCTATAGCCTGAAAACCACTGACTGTCAAGGAAACAGGTCTAGGGGTAGGGGGAGCTTTTCCAAGGTTGTTTGATTCTGCCTCTACTATTTTGTTTTTTTCCTTTGTATGTATGTGTGCTAACATATGTAAGGGTTCATACACATGTGTTGAGGGGCCAGAGGATAACATCAAGTATTATTCTTTCTCAGCACAGTGTGTCATGTTCTGGTTTTGGTTTGGTTTTTTGTTGTTGTTGTTGTTGTGTGTGTGTGTGTGTGTGTGTGTGTAATGAATATGTGCACATGAGTGCAGGTACCCATGTGAGTCCAAAAGAGAGTGTTAGATCTCCTGAATCTGGAGTTACAAGCAGTTATGAGCTTCAGACATGAGTACTAGGAGCCAAACTCAGGTCTTTTGTAAGAGAAATAAGCACTCTCTAACTATACAACCATCTCTCAAGCCCTGACCTTGTTTTTTGAGACAGAATTCTCAAAGGTTCATCTTTGCCAGCTAACCAGCCCCTTTCTTCAGCTAGCTCTTCAGTGCTAAGATTACAGATACCAGAGGACTCTTTCACGTGGGTTTGTGATCAAACATAAATCCTCTTATTTGCACCACAAGGACTTTAGTAATTGAGCTATCCCTCTAGCTCTGGTTTTTGTTGTTTGTTTGAAGACAGAAACTAGCTTTGAATTGACTGTGTAACTGAGAATTGAGGATGACCTTGAACTTCTGTTCCATCTTTGCTGCCTTGCCCTCCTGATTATTTGAGGTTACAAGCCTACACCGCCACACTCAGTTTATGCAGTGCTGGGGATCAAACCTAAATCTTCATGCATGCTAGACAAAGCATTTTCCAGTTAACTACATTCTCCAACTCCTACAATTACCTCTTTCATACATTTTCTTCTTTTCATTTTTGTTGTTGAAAATCAGAGACATCATTAAAAGTTCCCCAGTAACACTTACTTTAGAACTTTTTAGTGTAGCTTTCTTCAGCTCAGTCCTGTCCCAGAGCACTGGAAGTTGACTTCATGACCGCATCAACCTTCCATTCCCTCCTTCCCACGCCTACCTAGAGTTGAGTGTATATGAATTTGCTACTAAGGCAGCATTCTAAATTTTTGACTTCTTAATGCTGCATTGGCCTGTCAAGCTTGTTGTGTGGTGACTTCTAACCATAACAGCCCTCAAGGAGCCATGGCAGGCTGCATTGCAATTGTTGAAATTTGTCATCATGACATCCCCAGATAAACCAGAAAATAGAACAGAATTCTTTAACTCTTGGCAATTTTTATGTTTATGCAATAGCATTTGTCCTTGGGTTCTTACAGATCTCTCTAATCACCTCAGTGCCCTACATGGTATACCTAACCTCTGACCTAAAAGGCCAAAACTAAGAAATCTTACCCAGGTCTTGGAAATCATGTCAATGTCCTTCCTATTGATATTCCAAATCAGTCACCTTGATATGGTCAAATCTGCCCCAGAGACTTCTTCCCTTTCTGTCAGACCTTGGAATAGCTGAGGTATACTTATTTGCTTTTTCCTTCCCACAGCAGTGCTGTGACCTAGGCTACCATGCTAGCCTGAACCGGGCCCTGCGTACTTTCTTGTCTGCTGAATTAAATCTGGAACAATCAAAACACGAGGGTCTGGATGCTATTGAAAATGCAGTAGAAAACCTAGATGCCACCAGTGACAAACAGCGACTCATGGAGATGTACAACAATGTTTTCTGTCCCCCTATGAAATTTGAATTCCAGCCCCACATGGGAGATATGGTAAGACCCTTCCCTATCCTGTACCTTTCCCTAACGGGACTTGAATGTACTAGATGTATGTATAGTTTTTATTACATATATATCACATCTAAAGGAGAGGGACTTCCTTTCAGGTAAGTTGCACTCTATTCTTTCAGACCCTGCAGTATACCCTTTTGATTTTGACTGATGTGCTTATCGCTGAGCCTAGGCTTATGTTCCTTCTAAGTGAACCGGCCGAAGCTGTAGAGTGGATAGTCTCCCAGAGGGTAGTCCACAGTCCCAAGCAACTGTGTACCAGAAACCTGATGGGAGTGCCCAGGGAATGAAGAAAAGCACAGATACATGTTCAGAAAAGCAGGAATCACATAAGTTGTGATAACTCTGATGGAGGATAGCAACTATGAAATAAACTAGGACCTTAGCATGTTTATTATGTAGAGCACAAGGAGAGGAGTTAGCTGATATTGGTAGGTATCTATAGGCTAGCAGTCTCAGGCTGTGACCATCCTAGATATGGAAGCTTCAGTTGTTAGCTTTTGCACAGATTGATCAGCTGATCATTGATCATAAATACTTTTTCTTGCATACACTGTCAACATTCACACTCAGACCAGAGGAAGGCTTTGCTGTTCCCACAGATCTGAGGAATTGATCCTTGACATGGCTATGCCCATGCCAACAATATACATTCATTCAGGACTTCACCCACTTTTTACACATTCACTCAAAGCTTACTCAGTTCCCCACAGTAGTGAGACCTAGAGGACTAGATAAGAAGAGGCTACCCAATCAGCTATGTGTTCTTGCCATGCGCAGTGCTTCCTTGGGATTAGCAGCTAGATTCTTTAGGAAACCCTGCTCTAGCCTGACAGCGATAGTGAGATGTATATATCCAGACGATTAACTGTCATAGACAAGCCATGATGAAGTGGTACATCTCTGTCTTAGATACAAAATGTGAGGTAGTTTCTCTCCTTTTCTTCTTGGGGAAAACCAAGCTTCTTAGAGTTTGTTTGCATTGCTGTGGCTGAGGAGATGTCGGCATCTAAACAGATGGAAATATATTACCAACCTCCAGGAAGTTCTATTTTTCACCTGCCTTGATTTCTGTTCAAATTTGTCTTCTCTAGCTGCCACTGAGATTCCTTCCCAAAATGAGTGGAACCTAGGACTAACTGAATGTGGGACTGGTGTTGTCTGAGTTCCTTTCTGAGCCAAACAGCTTTTCTCCATAAAGGGAAATCCAGATGATGGGTACTTAGGCCCCCTCCTTCCCCTGTCAGAACCACATTTCCATACTCTAAAGCACAGCTGGAATGCATTACCTTGCATCCTGGCTGAAGATCACTGACAAAGCATGCATCAGCAACTTTGGTGCTCTTTGGCAAAACAGGCTTGGAGATGATTTTTACTCTTAATTCTCCCATGGTAGGCCTGGGTGACTTTAAAAATTGATAATTCACTCTTTTGCCCTGTATATGGTACATCTGATCGGTGGCTTGACCAGAAAAAGGGCTAGAACTTCCCAAGATTTCACATTCTGGCTTAGAAATGAAAAGTTATCCTTGGGTCCCACTGCCAGTCTTTCTGAATTATTGTAGGTTGTATGATGCAGAAGGAAGGAGCTGCCTGGAAGTCCTTAAAATAGGGCCAAAATTCAGGTGGCATTTTAACTGGAAGCTCTGAAATTGGCAATATCAGTGTTCTTGGGCCATAGCACATGAGCTGATGTCAGCTGCTCTCAGATGCACTAGGAGTTGGTGCACCCAGAGGTCTGAGGGGCACTGGATGCCTGACTGGTGACATCAGACAGCCAGAGACAGAAATTTCATTCTTGGCACTAACCCATCTGGCCACCAAGCTTTTCTCCATTATGTCTACTTATCCAAAAGTCGTAGTGAAATCAGCTCTAAATTTTGAGCCAGCCTCTCAGCTGAAGAAGAGGTCAAATCAGTTGAAATCTTAAATGCCAGTGAAGAAAAAGGTCAATTTCTAGTCCCCTACATTTGAAGAGAAGTTTTATTTTTTGAGTAAGAGAATGATTTACAAGTATATGAATATACTCACTCTTTGCTGAGGGTGAAGGAGCCCAATTCAGATGTTTCTCTTCTGATAAGAGCTAAAGGACACTTGGTAATAAAGTAACTGTACTGCCTCTACATGACGTCGTACCCTCCATCTCCAGCCTTCTGCCTCTCATCGCTCATCCAGGGGATTAGATTACACATGCCATAGCCTTACCTTTATAAAGGGTCAGCTGTTTTTTCACAGAGGATAAAGTTGGTTGGTAGTTCACTGGGGATTGGAGTGCAGGGGATCCCATACCTAGTAGGATATAATGATAGCTATTTAGAGAACATCAAGTTCCATCTGATCTCATGCCCTCTGGAACTCTCTAGCATAGCCCATGAACGTGTTCTCATATTCACATGAACTCTTTCCCATTGAGTCAAAGCTCTCATGCATGGCCCAGATTTATAAACATACTGACTGCCAACAGCAGCAAGTTAACTTCCTGGCTCACTTCTCTCCTGCTTTTTAACTCTAGTGTGTGAAGTGGGAGGAGGGAAGCACCAGAGAGGTGACTACTTGGACCTTTGGCCAGGAACTCTTCATTGTGCCAAAGCATTGGGTTTCTGGACCAGAGGTTGCCTGCAGCACTCTATTTTCTAGCCGCCTCAGAATTCCATAGAGCTGAAGACCCTGCTAGACCTACCCCTGATGACTACTTGCCTGCCTATCGATTCCAAAGAGAAAAATGGGGTCTTTCGAAACAGATCTCCCTCCCTGTTCTTTCATGTATTGTTTGATCTAGAAGTTCACACACATTGTCTTTGGATTTTGTTTGCATGTAGAAACTGCAAGTTTTCTAGTAGTTGGGATACAAAACAGTGTGAATCTTTTCATGAGCAGTGGTGAGAACTCTGGATTCCTCAAAAAACCTACGTCGTCTTTCTGACCTGTGTTGCTTTTTTTGACAGGCCTCTCAGCTCTGTGCCCAGCAGCCTGTCCAGAGTGAGCTGGTGCAGAGATGCCAGCAACTGCAGTCTCGCTTATCCACTTTGAAGATTGAGAATGAAGAGGTGTGTTTCCTTCCTAGCAGCTCAGAGCCACTGTTTGCATGTTGAACTACTTGTGGCTGTCCATCAGGGGCAGGTGGAGGGAGCATGCAGAGAATGTCCGGGCTATTGCAAAGATTTCCTGGCCACATGGAAGGTTGGGCTTTCCCCGTTGTTGCATCCTGCCCTTGAAATCCAGGAAGTTGTTCGTACATTGCCAAAGGTTGTGCTCTATTTTGAGCTTTTACAAAATGCCTCTCTCCACTACACATTTAATCAAAGTGTTGGCCACTGTATGAACCATATCAAATTTCTGAAATAAGCCCCTCATGACTGGCTTTCCCCAGCATTTCAAAAAGAAACCATTGACTTTGACACTTCAGACATCTCTAATGTTTTAAAAGAGGGTCACTTTTTCTTTCTAAATACAGCATATTTTCTTTTAATAAGTAGTTTAAGGCAATTTGATCAGTAATCTACGTTTTTTTTTTTTTTTTAGCTCAGATGGCTTCTTACCTTGTATCAGTAAGTCTTAATTTCACTAGGAAGGAATAGGTTTGATCAGTTAGAAACAAATTCATTGATTGGTTGAAGGACTCTCGGAGCACTGAAGGACTAGACTTATCACATATTATAGCTAGCTCTGGTATGATGGCAATATTGGTTTGTAATTATTTTGGTTTTTTTTCTTTGTATCTCTATTATAATAAAATAGTATTAAATCTTAAAAGTGAACTTTGGGGTTGGAGAGATGGTTGAGTAGTTAAAAGCACTGGATGTTTTTGCCTTTTTATAGACTGTCTCTGGTGATATTTTTGGTGATTATGATTATAGGTGAAAAAAACAATGGAGGCTACCCTGCAGACCATTCAAGACATTGTGACTGTTGAGGATTTTGATGTGTCTGACTGCTTCCAGTACAGCAATTCTATGGAGTCTGTCAAATCAACAGTCTCAGAAACTTTCATGAGCAAGCCCAGCATTGCTAAGAGGAGAGCTAACCAGCAAGAGACGGAGCAGTTTTATTTCACAGTAAGGGTACTCATTCACTTTAAAGGGGCGTGAATAGAAACTGTGACACCTAAGGGAGCTTTGGAAAGGGAGTTTTTGTCAACTGTCTGAAAAGCAAGCTTTGAATACACCAGATTTAAATCGGGCATACCTGCTCACCATCTCTACACTTAAAGCTAATGCATTTACAAGTTGTATATATCTACCGGGGACCTCAAAGAAAGGGTGCTCCTAAATTAATTACTAAGAAAAAGAAAGTAAACTTTAACCAGATAGTAGGCTTTTATTTGAAAGTAGCCCTCACAGTCACAGAAGAGCATAACAAGGGGCTGAGTTTACTGGTTTTTGAGAACTATATTTAAATATCTTTGCCAATATGTATCTTAATTTAAAAGTCATATAACTTTCATTATTAGAACTTTTTGTAATATTGGCAATTATCAAGAATTCTAAAACAGTATATTTTATTCATTGTTCTCAAGTCTCCTTTTAGATAGGTGTGTGTTAATAGTTCTTTGAAAGGTTGCTAGCTGGTCTTCTATGCTGCTTCTTAATAATTAAGTTACCTGGAACTTGCCAAGTAGGACCGATTGCTTGCATTAAAATTTATTTCCTTATCTTTTGAAGTCCAAAAAAGGAAAAAATGACTTTGCAGTTGTAAGATGAAGCATGGTCATTGAAAATGCACCCTGACCAAATGAGAGGGCCTCACTTGTCTTCCGTCGTGAAGCCCACTCAGCGTGGAGCAAATTAAGTTTTTCTTCCAGCTAGGACAATTTGTTTAATTTTTCTTTGAACATTGTTCTTTTTTCTTTAAGAGCACTAATATAATTGATTGGTGGTTTTGTAAGTCTGGTTCAATTAGTTAAGCAGCAAATCTTTGGTGTTTTTGTTGTTTTAAATCCCAGTGAAGACTTTTGAAAGGGTATTATTTAAGACTATTGTTCTAAAACAACTGAAATTTTTTTGTTACATAAAAAGCTTAAGTGATCTTATTTTTAAAACTGAAAACATATAACACATTTTAGTACAAAAAACATTTTAAAACATGGTCATTATATAAAATTTAAATGCAAAAATAAGAAAATAAATACATATGAGCATGTATTTAAAATTATATTTACAAAAGGAGGCACCTTCGTATTTATTATATTGTAAGTTTAAGTCATTCAGTTATATATTCTAGTTGTTTTGGGGGTTTTGTTTGTTTCTTGGTGGAACTTTCATATCTGCTAGGCAAGAGCTGCACCACTAAGCTCTGTGTCTGGCCCATATTATATTTTCTAAGCATATGCAAATCTATACAGAGAGATGGAATGATGCATTGCCTAGTTCACGGTGCTCAGTAACTGCTATTCATTTTACCATCATCATTGTTAATCCATTCATCAATCATTCTTAAATTACTCACTGGTTATTTGCCATGTATTTACTATATCCTAGATTTTATGCTACAAGTTGGAATGTTTAGAGTATAAGAGAAAGAAGATAATGAAGGATTAGGCATATACAGAGAGAACTTTGATTTTGACTTCATATATTTCTAACCAGTTTCTTAAAGGCATGAATATGTGTGAGCAACAACAGAGAATGGTGCTAGGGGAAGCATCACACAAACTAACTTTTGTGCTTGATTTTTAACATGAGTAGGTCAAACGGGATTGCGAAGGAGACCAGAAATTATTACTAAATTTATTATTTAAAAAAATTTTCATTTTAATTTTTATTAATTATTTGGGAATACCATACATGCATTTGCATTTGTATTTCCATACATACAATGTATTTGACCATTTCCCCATTCAACTCCAGTCAAGAAATTTGGAGGATGCCAGTTGGTAGTGGTGCACAGCTTTAATCCCAGCCCTCAGGAGGCAGAGGCAGGCAGATCTCTGTGAGTTTGAGGCCAGCCTGGTCTACAGAGCGAGGTCCAGGACAGCCAGGTCTACACAAAGAAACCCTGTCTTGAAAAACTAAAATGAGGCGGAGGGGGGAGAGAAATTTAGGAGCTTAGGAGTTAGGGAGACAGCTTAGTCTGTAAAGTACATGCCACACAAGCATGAAGACCTAAGTTTGAACCCATGTAAAAGAAACCAGCTAATTTCTTAGCTGGGGAACAGAAACAGGAAGATGGATCCCTGGGTCTTATAGCCAGCCAGTCGAGTCCTTGCCTCAGAAAATAAAGTAGAGAGCAATTGAGGAAGATGCTGTGATTAACACTGACCCCTATATGCATGCATACATATACACTCCCAACAAAATAGAAGAAGGAAAGAAATTTTGGACATGAAAATCCATACTTAAGACTGTCCTTTAGAATTACTTTTTTGTTTTGATTTGTTTTTTGTTTGTTTTTTGTTTTATATTGTTTTTTGACACAGGGTTTCTGTGTATAACAGTACTGACTATCCTGGAACTCAATTTGTAGACCAGGCTGGCCTTGAACTCACAGAGATCTGCCTGCCTCTGCCTCCTGAGTGCTGGGATTAAAGCTGTGCGCCACCGCTGCCCAGCCAGAATTACTTTTTAACTTAAATGAATCTCTAATGTATACATTCAGTAGCTGATATCTGCTCCCAAACAAGAAGGCTGATGAGATGCCTCAGCACTTCTAAGAACTCATACTGGTCTTGGAGAGGACCACATCCAGGTGCTCACAACTGCCCATAACTCTAGATCCGCCCTGGCCTCTGTGGACACCAGCACTCACATGCCCACATATGTACATATCTACACAGAGATACATAATTAAAATAAATTTTTTAAAAAAATAACTTTATTCAAACTGATGACCTCTAAAATCTTGCCTAACTGTTCCCCTTTTATCTCAATACAATGGGGTCCTGCAGCCCATTTCCTGACTTTGGTGACCATGGTACTCCTTGTCAAATTATTGTGCACATTGCTTTGACTGTTAGAAATTAGTTTTTGTTTATCTAGTAGCAGATTTGCATGAATTCATTATTTTTGTCACCAGATCTGAAGTATGTCAGGTAATTTATCTTCTGATAGCAGCATTTTTGGTGGTGGTTGTGAAGTAGATACTCACATCCCAAATTAAAACCTAGGGGCTGTCTGTGCTTGTCAGACCATGCGAAAAATCAGAGCAGCACATTTGGAAGTTCCCTGCTTTTGGAAAATTGTAAAGATATCCCTCGTTACAACTTGACTCCTAGGTAGTGTGTCTAGTGACCATGTGGACTTTTGAGATAGTTTTCTGACTGCTTGTAACTGTCATCAGATTGATTTGCCCATGTGATATCGATTAGAAAATTGAACTAGGCCTTACAAAGGTCAGTTGCTAGCAAAGTTTGTGGAAAACCAAAATTTTAAACTTGAATCAGTTTTTAAATATTATCTAACCCAACCTTTTCATTTGAAAGCTTTGAAAAAAATGGACAAACAAATGCAGGAGGATGGGTAGCTTAAACAAGGCCTTCATCAGTGGCCGAACCCAGAACTCAGTTCAGCTGCTCGTCACGGGCTTTCCTTGTGTGCCCTGCTCCCTTATTATAAGAAGGGAGGTCTTTTCTGACATCCTGTCTTTGTGTTTGTCACTCATCTTCTATAGTACATCATTCCTCAGCATCTTTTTCTTGTTGCATTATAAAAAGACTCAACTATTTCAAAGGAAACTAGGGAGAAAGTAGAGCCTTACCTTACCCCAGTGCATACTTTTCCTCCCTTCTTGCCATGGAGTGAAACTAGTTTATTTTGTCCTTCCAGAGATTTTGTGTGCATAGGCAATCGATGATGTATCAGTAAGTGCCCCTTAACACAATAAATGACACTGGAAATTGTAATAAATGGGGACTTAGTAGTTAAGAGTGCCTGCCTAGCATATATGACACTGAGTTCCATCTTCAGCTCTGCAAGAGAGATGTTATGAAGTAAATGTAACGAACAGAAGTGTACCACTTACACTGTCTTCCACTTTACTTTGATAACATTTCAAACATTACTCGTTAGTCTAAAAAGATTTGTCCCACATCTCACACAATTTCCTTTCCAATAGCTGTATAAAACTCCATTTTATAGTTATATCATCTTTATTTTACCAGTTCTGTGCTGTGAGCAGGAGTCCTCTCTGGTTGACCAAGCATCATCAAAGCCTTAGAAAGCTAGAGTTTCTCCTAAATATTTCTTTTTATGGAGAATTGGAGTATGGAATTCTTTTTTATAATAATTTTCATATTTATTATATATATAAGTTTTTGCCTTCATGAAGTGCCTTCAAAAGGCCAGAGGGCATTGGAACCCTGGAACTGTACATAGCTAGTTGCGAACCACCATGTAGATGCTAGAAACTGTCCTCTGTAAGTACAGTAAGTGCCCTTAACTGCACTCTCCATCACCAAGTATGGCATTTTCAAATGGGAGGTGAAATGAAGAAGGATGGAAAACTTGTCTGATAAAATAGGAAAGCCAAACTATCTGAACTCTTAGGGGTAGATTTGGGTAAGACAATAGGAGAGAAGGCAGTCTTTTGTCCATTAGGCAAGCCACTAGACTTAGAGCTGTGATCTGGTATATTATAGAGAGCAAGTGAGTGTGTATGCATGAGCGTGTGTGTGTGTGTGTGTGTGTGTGTGTGTGTGTGTGTGGTCTGATTGTTATAATCTTGATATTCTGCCAAAAAGTACCAAAAAGCCACTTAGTCCTCCCTTGGCTTTAGCTGTCTCAGCTGTTTGTTCAGCAACAACTGAATCCTTCTACCTCGCCTCCACTGATAATGGCAGGATTATTTATCCCCAGCATGTCTGTCCTGATTTCTAGGTGAGATAAGGAAGTGATAGATAGCATGTCTACAGACTCTGGGATTCCTTTCCTTTCCCACCTACATGCAAAACCCACCTTGTTTTAGGTATATAGAGTATATCTTGATACAGTTTGATCCTTTAGTATTTAATGAAACCTGAAAAGGTAACATCATACATCCTTATCAGATTGTTATTTGTTTTAATGGTTCACCAAGTGACAGCTGAAGTTACCTAGTGAGTTTTAAACATGAACTTGGGGTGGGGGAGGGTTGGGAATTGAGAATAGAAACATGAGTGAGATAAAGATTTTTTTATTCATTCCCTTTCAGAATGTTGGCTGTATTGTGAACATTTTGGTCTTGTGTTGGAGGTTATAGCTTGTTGAGTTTTCTTCATTAAGAAACCTTTGAGACTCCTGGGATAGCTTTCCAAAGATAGGCCTTTCGGGGTTGTACTATTAGCAATGGATATTTCGTGGAGGCTTTTGCACTCTGGGTCCTAAGTATGATTGCAAGCCCACAATTAGGCATTGGGTGGGGATTAGGATATCATCCGGGGAACACTGACAGTAAGTGAGCTGACAGCTGGAACAGATGGGAAGAGGAGGGTGACAAGAGAGCCTATTTTCATGCAGATGTTCTCATGGAAAGGCATAAAGGATCAGAGAACGGGCCTTCAGTAAGACAGCAAAAACGATTTAGCAGAGGATTTGTCTGGTTTGTTTCATTTAGAGTAGGGATACCCTTAGGGACTCGTTTTGTAATTGCAAGGGACAGTTTATTCAGAGGAGAATGAGATTGCTCACTTATTTATTCATTCTTCATATTTATTAAGTTCCTACTATTTTCTAGGAGTGGCACTAAGCATCATAGATGGTCGGGATAATCAATGACATGGTCTCTGGATAAAAAGACACAGAGTAAACCTTCTGTGATAGGGCTGTATGAGAATGGTGCCATGGGGATCCAGAGGTTATCCATAGTGCCATGTGGGCGAGCACAAGAGACTCAGAGACCATCTCCCAGAAAAGCAAGTTTTCCTGCTTTTTAAATGGGAATGACAAGGCAAGCTCTTAGTTAAAAGTTCATACTGTGTAGAAAAATATAGGGTAAGAAAAACTCAGAACTTTTCATTTTTCTTTATCATTTATGAACTAATGATAGTCATAAATATCAAAGGTTTAAAATACAATTCTTTTTTAATTAGTGCACAGTAAAAGACATTATTATTATTGTTATTATTATTATTATTATTAAAACATTTCTTCACTGGCACAGACCCAAGTCTTTCTAGTGACGTGTAGATCATACTCTGGGAGACCATTTGCTTCTGAGTTAAACACCATCATATGAGCCAGGGCAGCAGAAATGACCAAGGCAGACTCAGGGTCTCAAGAATGGTTGTAGAGGAAAGTGGAAAACAGCTCTCACCTAGCATTACTGTTTACTAGCTTGCAGTTGTACCCTCCTCTCCTAGAATTGTCTTCTCATCTCTAATAAAGAACTACTAATATCTTCCTCGTATATGATAGGATTATTGTAAGGGAGAGACAGACTATGTGCTATTGTAGTTAGTCTAATGTCTTCTGGGTTGCTCCTAATGTAAAAATAATGACTACTATAAAATTTTGTTCTGATTCTCTTTGTCTCTGTAATGTAGTATGTGTGACATTTTATGATAATGCTTCAGAACACATACCATTCTGTCAGACTTGGTGTATGGATACTATTGTGTGATATTTAAAAAAAAAAACTTTCCTAGGAAGACAACACACACTTCTACTCATCCCAGATAGAGAGCCCATGACAGACCATAATACAGATACCGTCAAAGTCCAGTGAGTTTTATTCAAGTTACCTGTAGGAGTATGGGTGCAGTGTTATTTACAGGAGCAGAAATGACTTAAAGACATCTTCATCACCAAAGCTCTTAAGAGCTGCGCACCTAGGGCACACTACATAGCCTGTATAGGCAGCTCAACAGGTTGAAGAGTATCCTTTCTAGGTGGCTTAGTCTGAGCCTACTCCAGGCTGCTTGGCTGGCCTCTGCTTCTTTTCAGGCTGCCCGACTGTCCTTTTCTTCTTTCAAGTTATTTATACTTGGGAGAGAGGGGCCTAGTAAATCTGTTCAGTCTCAGGAACTTGTTGGGACTATTTTGTGTTGTTTGTTTCCTCTCTTAAGGAACTTCCCTGGGAAATGGAATGTTTCAGTGGGGATGAGGGGGGACCTGCTGCACAGCAGAGAGTGAATGACTCCATCAGTTTTTTGATCCTGAGCAATTTCATTAATCTCTTCAAATCTGCTGCCTTCTTCCCATTACTCAAGTAGAGTAGGAGGAATGATAATAGTAGTTTATACAATTGTTTTGAAGATTTTGTGAATTATCCAGTCAAGCATTGTCTCTCACAAACCAGACAAGAGCTGATGAGTTGTCGAAACTGCAACTGCAACATAGCAGTCGTACTTCGCCTACTAGTGCAGGTGTGACAGCACAGTTTGTCTTCTGCTTGGAATTTGTATATGCATAGAGTAGGTGGCAGCCACTCCAGCCGAGCACGCTGAAACTCCCAACTTTCAGTAGACCAGACTTGTTAGGGTCTGGCTTAGACAAGGGTGCTCTGTGGTTGAGGTTTACCATTGGCACTACTCCTAGGGTGATGAAATGTCCCCTGGAGGAGCAGCAGACTATCAGCCTAAGGGGTAGATGGCAAATGCATGTCTTCACACCAGCAAAGCTGAGGCTCAGGAAGGTTGTCCACTCTGCCTGCCATTCTCTTTCTTTACTGGAACTAAAGGAAACAGGTGAAGGGCTTTACTTAGAAAACAGTTTTCTTATACTGGCTAACATGAAATTCATAGGAAAATACCGTGCAGATTTGCACCTACCATGAAAATCAGCAGAGAGAGAAAGTTTTTTTTTTTTTAAAGAATTTAAATGGACTTACTAGAAAGTGAGTCAGAGAGTCAGGAATCAAATGCCTTCTCAAAGGCAAATTGTCCAGTTGACATTTGCGTCTTGTGTTTCTTCCAGAATCTAAGTTCTCTTGTTTCTCCTCTTGCCTTACAGAAAATGAAGGAGTACTTGGAGGGTAGGAACCTGATCACCAAGTTACAAGCCAAGCATGACCTCCTGCAGAAAACCCTGGGAGAAAGTGAGTGTGAGCATGCTCTACTGAAGCTTGGTAGAGCAGAGAGGCCCAGCAGTACTCTGATGCTGAGCACATGCCTCCAGTCCTCAGCCAGCTAGACCCCACTGGCTATATGACTGTGTTTCCTTTCCTAGCCTGTTCATTGTGAAAGTACTCTTCTAAATGGCTGCTTGAGTGATGGGGAAACGTCAATGTGTAATGGAATGCTAATAATATTCATCAGCTGTTTCTTTAGATGGAGTGTGCCTGCTTTCCACTCAAACCCATCCTTCACCTTCCTGCCACACCTGTGGTAAAGGGGCCTCAGGGTTATCTTCTCTCTAGATACTTGTGAGAACTCCCTAGACCTGGAAAAAGAAGGTCCTCAGGTGGAGAGGGCAGAGCAGACTTGCTGCTTCTTCAGCTTCCAGGGTGAACATTCATTTCCTTTCACTTAAATAGCAACCATCTCTCTCGTGTGGCTGCATTAAGACCATAGTGCTGAACGGGCTGTATTTTTCTCTGGCAGTAATCTTAACCAGACACTGGAAAGTATTGAGGCAGAGAACTGGACAGACATTCTGGACTTTCTCTCCCCAGTCAGCCGTCAAACAGAAGGCCAAGGTTGAAGAAGAAGCTTTCCCCGAGGTTGTTTGGCACCTTGCCCAGGTCTCCTGCCTAGCTTTCAGCATCGTATGATTAATGGGATTCCCAGGTTGGGGATGCCCTGAATGTTCTGCCCTCCTCCCTACCCCACTAATCTCTTCTCTTAAAGATGAGGCCACAGGGAGTATGTGGTCTCATTGGTGACAGATGTGCCTGCACTCAGACACAAGTCTAACATTTTAAAATAAATTCTTGAGCACTCATCAGACAAACTGTGAAGTATAGCAAATTTTATAAGACTAGCTTTTTAGCTGAGAAATCAGAATCCTACTCTTCAGACCAGACTCATCTACCCACTGTTGTTACCTTGTCCTTGACCAACCCTGGACGATTCCCCCAAATTTTTTTTCTCCAGTACATTTGATCTTGTTTTTTTTGTTTTGTTTTGTTTTTACATGTTTGCTTTAATGTGAAAAGAGTCCTTTAGTACCTTCTGATCTTTTCCACCCAAACAGTTCAAATCTAGGGATGAGGGCCAAATATGCTTACAGAAAGTCTTTACTTTTGATTTACCAGATTGCTGTGTGATGAGTTAAAGGGAAAACAGCCTAGAGAACCATTTGAAGAAACTTATACCTATGATTTCTTTTTCTGAAGACAATCTCAACATAGCCTGGAAGACAGGGAAAAGGGCTTTAGAGCCATACATGTGTGCGTGTTTATAAACATGTCTGCATCAAATTATGCTACTCTAGAGGGATGGAGGTTGACCATTGGGGCTGCAAATTACCATAATTTAAAGATGACAAGTTCCAGAGATAGAGAAAAATAATAGCTATAAATCATCCTATGTGCAAATTATTTTGTTCCTGCCTTCTGTAAGGGTTTGTCACCATAATGTAAGAGTCTCTGATTCTTGCCACAGAGGAATAGTTGATGTGTGTCAATATTCTAGAGTGGAAGTAGGACAGATGTTGAAAATAATGGTTCAGAATAATATTTTTACAGATGAAAACTCAGGCTTTGGTAACAGGCTGTTGGGGATTGCCAAAGATGAACCAAGCTATCTTGACAATTAGCAACACTTTAAATGCAAGAAAAAAAAAAACTCTGCCTTCCCAGTCTCTCAGAGTTGCCTTTCCTGAAGTATGAATAAGGAGTATGGGAGTTGATCTCTTCTTTTCTGGCTTACTGCCTGCCAGGGTTTCCCACTGATTTATCAAGACTGATCAAGCTTCATTAACTATTGGCCCAAAGAAGGCAACATTTTACATCATGGTTTATGCATGCATATATGAATATTTTTATAAAACATTTTTTTACCAACTTAAAGATTTTCCATTTCATTTTTCAAAGCTAACCATGGCCCATGAAAGTCTTAACCACCTATCATTAGACTAAAAGCCATCATTTGCTAGCCACATGGGTACTGAATCTTATCTCTGCCTTACTATGTCAATGCAAGTTAACAGGAGAGTTTAGTATGATTCTAAAACTAGAACCTATGTACCCTCTCCCACCTCTCTCTATATTCCCTTTTCTTCCCAGACTTAAGTGTGTGCATATGTGGTTTGCATATATACTGACAAACTTGTTCCATGTCCTGTGTCCCCTAAAGTACCTCTCACCACCACTACTCACATACCTAGCACATACATGAGAAGTCAGATTTCATGTATGGGAAAGGCTTACAATATTTTTTTTCTCTAAAATATGATTTGACTTGTTTTTCCCATACGTCCATGCTGTTTTCTCATTTGAAAAGTAGAGTTGACAAGGTTCAAAGATATTGATGACTTTGGCATGGGAACTGGAGAAGCAAAGTTCCTGCCCAAAATGAAGTTAGGGCAGTCCTTTTCTTCTCTGCTACTGGCTCCCTAGGAAGATATGAAGGGTATGGTAATTCCTAGGTGCACAACCCACCCGACCCCTTTGCTTCAACAAATAGCATTTCCCCTTCTCTTTCCACAGGTCAGCGGACAGATTGTAGCCTTGCCAGGTAAGTGGCTCTGGGTGGGGATGAGGAAAGACCTATGGCAAAGGGATGACTTTGCAAAGGAGTAGCCTGAGGCAAGAGTTGCTTCCTTCTCTTTGCCTTACTAACTTTATCTCCTCTTGAATGGCTGTGGAGTTGCTACCATTTAGGGAAGTCTAAGCAAAATAATGTCACCGGAGTTATCGCCTGATAAAAATCTTCCCAGAAACTCCCAAAACCACTCTATTGCAAGGATAATAAACATCAGACTCTGTTGCCTTGTTAACCTCTTAGCTGGGAGACTTCAACACATGATACAGAAAGTCTTCAACACAGAAAGATTAGGTGATAGCATTTGATTTGATTTTTTTAATACCTAGAAAAGATGATAGGCCCTAATTAGTGACTGTTGGTGGATAATGAAATATTATATTGCATTGGCTTGCCAAATAGCACTGGGAGAAATCTTTGCTGATATACAAGTATGCAACCCTCCCAGTCTTTCCCCACCTTCCCTCCCTCTCCACCTCAGCCAAATATTTTCCCTCATAGTCATTGATGCTGGCAGAAAACAAGACATTCATTCAGCCAGCACCCTCAGATGCCTAAAAATGTGCTGATTTAAAGGAGAACATGTTTTAATGAAGCAGATTGCATTGTATCAAACTGACAACTCATACAGTCATGAGGCCACTTATAGTTACAGACTCATTATTTAGTGATAACTCAGTTTGATCTTCATCATTCTGTCATAGCAGATTACAGCTCAGGTCCTATTACTATAGAATTTGTGAGGACTGGAGGGAACTAAGATAAGTGGAAGTCTGTATAATCTGCCTCCTAGTAGTATAGTCTTAACTTCTTCAGAAGTAACACGTTTTTGGAAAGCCTAGATAGGGCCAAACTGACGCCCTTTGCTGGATTATTTCCCCATTTGTAACCTTGGACTATTTATCTCACTTCTCAGAATACCAGTCTCCTCTTGTTAAAGTCAACAGTATTAGTTTAGAGAAGCACTAGGATTTCAGAAAGGTGCCTTCAGGGCAGGCTGGCAGCAGAGTCAGAGCAAGGCCTAGCACCCCTGCCTGGCTCCTACCTTCACAAAACAGGGCAGTGCTGCCCTCCTTGTTTGAGTAGTATGCTTCTCTATCTGATACACTATGAGAAAAAGGCTTCTACAGCTAAACACGGCTTGAGAAGCACTGACAGAGGGTCCCTAGAGTTCATTTCAGTCTGAATGTCCTACCATCTAAATAAAAATAAAATAAAGTAAGCAGTCATTTTCTTTTTCCAAAGAGTCTCAAAAGAAAATATATATGCTTTGGTGTTTATTATTGTTTCCTTTCAAACAGAAAAACCTTAAAATTGTCTAACATGAATCTGTTTTACTACAGATTAAACCATTTACCTCCTATTAATTATAGGATAATTAATTAAAAATATTAATTTTTAAACAGTGGTAGGCATTAAAATCAGGGACCTCTGTGCTTTTATGAAAGAATAAAGTTTATTAGACTTTGGTTGGGAAATAGCTTGCCAAGTCTCTTAGCTGTTTCTGGGACTGATCACAATAATGTGGTGTTTCATTACCTGCTGTACAGTTGTTTTACATGATTTAAAGTTTTACTCTGAATTTAGGAGTGGTTGTCTCATTCTGTCCCTGTTTTCTTTTTCCCTCCTGTTGCTGGACTGGTCCTTTCTGATTCGGTGGGTCAACCACAGGCGTAGCTCAACCGTGAGGAAACAGGTAAAGAGCCAGCAGAGCCAGATTGTTCAGCCTGGCTCATGAAAACCGAATGCCTGCCACAGTCATGACTGAATTCCATGGCATGCCTCCTGTGACATTATGCTTGTGCTTGGTTGTGTCTTTACTTACCGTATGGTTGAGATTGTAGCAAACACTCATTTAACTTCGTGGAATTATCATAGGCTCTGTGATTTATTTTTGTTGTTAGTTAGGTTTGGTTTAAACGTGGACAAATTGTTCTATAACAGCACATGACATCCTTCTAGGAGTCCCTACAGAGGCCTTGCAATTCCTCACATACACACTGACGCACCAGCACTGGGGTAGCTGATCCTCAGTCTAAAAGTCTTGTTTAAGTTTGTAGGCTTTGACTGCTTCTGGTTTATTGTAATCTTAGCTGTATTCCTGACACTCCCTCATAAAGTACTGTGAAACAGTTTGGGGTATGTTACAAAAGAAGTGCTCAACTTGATAGGCTTGCATGTGGCCTATTTTAGTATCATCATTGTATTAAAATCTAACACTGAGCAACCAGTTCTCACCCATGTTAGGAAGACTCTTGGCAGTGGCCTGAGTAATCCACATCAGGGGAAATCTCAATACAATTGTAATTACTTTAAAGTAAAAAGAAAATGAATTGAAGCTTGTTTTTGCAGTAGCAATCTTCCATTCACTAGTTATAGCCTGCAGTGAGTTCTGAAGCGACTTCACGTTCCCTAAGCATCTCACACCAGCTTTGCAGGAGGGAAAGTTAGCAAGAACGGGTGGAAGACAGTGCTCAGAAATATCATTCTGTCTACTCAAGAAAAAGCTAACCCAGGCTTCTAAAAAGTCTTTTGCAGGACTGGAAAGATGTCTCAGTAGTTGAGTACTTGCTGCTCTTCTAAAGGACTTAAATATAGCTGAAGTCACCCATGTCAGACCACTTACAGCTGCCTGTAACTCTAGCTCCAGAGGATCCAACATCCTCTTCTGGCCTTTTAGGGTATGAGTGCATATGTGACAAACACACACATATAAATATAAGTAAAAACTTTTTTTTAAAATGTCAATTGTAGTCATGCAAAGAGGCCCTGGACATATGGCAGTCATCAGATGCAGAAGGCACAGGGTTTCTGCACTATTTGCAGCCCCAGCACTCATTTCATGGATCTGACTACTCTGGTTGGTGGGCAGTCCAGCTATAGAAGTCACTTGATAAAGGCTTCTTTGTCTCCTCAATACTTCGAAGATTTATTATTTTATTTCATGTGTATGAGTGTTTTGCCTGCATGTATATGTGTCATGTGCATGCCTAGTGCCTGTAGGAAAGTCAGAGGAGGATGTTAGATTCCCTGGAACTGGAGTTACAGATGTTTATAAGCCACTGTGTGGATTCCAAAACCAAACCTGGGTCATCTTCTGCTAGAGCAGCAGGTCCTCTTAACTACTCAGCCATGTCCCCTAGCCTTCCTTTTAACTATGGATATCATTTTAATGAAAAAAAATCGTCTTTTTTTTGTTGTATGTGGTTTTTGTTTTGTTTTTGTTTGTTTGTTTGTTTGTTTTTGCTTTTTTTTTGGTACAGCATTTTACTTACTATACTTCCCAGTCTGGCTTTGAACTTGTATTCCTCCTACCTCTGTCTCACAATTCCGGGATTACTTGCCATCAGGCCTGGATATACTTTTTTTTAAAATGATAAAAATTTCACTGTAACTTTCTACCATCTTATTTCTATAATTCTTTCTTCTCCTTTATCCCTGGATTTCTGTTAAAACTTGAGAAGAGTGAAATGCCTCTCAAAGATAATTTGTTGCTTTTTAAATTAATAGGCATATATTTTACAGACTAAGCAACCATTCTTCCTTTATTGCCAAGAATAGTCTTAAACTTGAAGTTTATTTCTTTCCACTTCTGACCTAACCCTAGACCTCTTGCAGAGACCTAGAGCATGCATGTGGGAGCTTTACATCTTCTGCTGTAGCTGCAGGAGTGCTGGAGTTCGGCACGTAGTATCTGCCCCGGGCTGGGGTCACCATCAGCGGGGAGTGGCACCATCTGGTTTACATTGCATACTGCTGCACTAAAGCAGTTGCAGGCAAGGTGTGTTCCCCTGGTACCAGGTTTGCATGAGTCCAGGATTCCCAGTGCAGTGAGGGCCTTGAGTTGGTTATTCTTCCAGTTTCTCTCTAGCAAGAATTTTTTATTAGATTGTCAGAACAGTAAAGTCTTCTATAAATAACCAAGAAATCAGTCTTTGTATCTTGCAAATCAGCTAAATATAAGGAATAATGTGGAAACTTATTTTCCTAAGAGGCTGTGTTTAAAGCAGCTCCTGGCATTTGCTAAAAAGGAGGACCCTGCCCCCGCCCCTGCCATCAGGTGTTGCTTACAGGCATCTTTGTTCCACTCACGTCCTTCATTTTCTCCTACCAATCACGTCTATCACCTTGTTCCGGGCCTTACTTCCTTGTGCTTTCCTTAGGTGTGATCTGCTCTGTGCTTGTCTCTTTTCTGAAAGATGTTTTTATTTTATTTTGTGTGTATGGGTGTTTGGCCTATGTGTATGCCTGTGCATCTTATATGTGCCCATGGAGGTCAGAAGAGAGCATCAGATCCTTTGGAACTGGAGTCCACAATGGTTGTTAGTTACCATGTGAGTACTGAAAACTGAACCTGGGCCCTCAGCAAGAGCAACAAGTGCTCTTAACTACTGAGCCATCTCTCCAGTCCCAAAATTTTAAACTCTTACCGTAAGTGATAAATGTTGATGGAGATAGATATGCTTAACCTGCCTCAAACATCATATAGTTTCTACATGTATCAAAATTCCACATAGTATCCCATTAACCAATTTTATATACCACTTAAAAGTAAGTTTTAAGACAAAAAAAACCTAATTTCATACTAAAAGAAATGATAACAAACAGTGTGGATATTGTATAGTTATCATCCTGATAGTTTTCTCCTGTAAATTACTTACTGCTGCTCTACTCTCTTTTCTAAATTATGCCAACTGTCAATTCCCTCCAACTGATTGAATGGAAATTTGCCCTGATTGTCCTTAAAAACCCTTTCCAGGGGGCTGGAGAGATGGCTCAGCAGTTAAGAGCATTGCCTGGTCCTGAGTCCTGAGTTCAATTCCCAGCAACCACATGGTGGTTCACAACCATCTGTAATGAGGCCTGGTGCCCTCTTCTGGCCTGCAGTCATACACAACAGAGTATTGTATACATAATAAAAAAAAAATCCTTCTCAACCTAAGTTTATATGATAAAAGAAAAAAAACATTATGAGCAAAGTAATGAACTGACATTGATTCATTCTAACATTGAGAAAAGAAGGGGAAGAGGAAAAACAATAAATGGGAAAATACAGAAAGTGCTGGGGAAGCTGTATGCAGTTAGTGATGGCATCTAGGTTTTGTGGGTGTCATGGGAACGCATAGCACAACTGAGGAAACGAGTCACTTGTATCTTAGAAACATTACAGGAAGCAGCGAGGACAATTAGAACATCTGAAACTGAAGCCTCTGTGCTGTTGTTCCTTATTAGACTCTGCCTTACACTCCATTTTAGCTTTCTATAGTAGTACAGGCAGGCATCTCTGGCCTACCCTTGTCTGCCACAGATTATTCCTTCAAGTTGTTTCTTCTGGTGGACTATTGGGGACCTTGAGCATGCAGCTTTGGTGCCTTGTTTCCTGCCATCCTACTGTTGGTAGAACATTTCCTGCACATACAGACAGAACTTTGTATTCACATAGTTTATTAATGCCGGGACTTGTAAGTTTCCCAGTCACTGTCTTTCTTCTTTAACCTCAGATAAATCTGGGACCAGAAAATTCTGCAAATCCATTTCTGCTACCTTCATTATCTCTCCTGATACACGATTTCCTATGAATGGAGACTTTTCCCGTTGTAATAGTTGAGCCTAGTTTTCATTAGAATACGGAAGAAAGGACCAAGATTCTTCCTCTAAGTTTCTTTGGGCTAACTGGGAGAAGTCCATGGTCTTACAAAATGTCAGCCCCTGCCACTGTACCTGAACAGCTAGAGGAAGCAGTCAGCTTTCAGGGTAGGAGTGTCACAAAGATGAGCATTTGGAGCTAGGTGTGATATCACACTCCATTAATCCCATGGAGGCAGAGGCAGGCAGGTTTCTGTGTGAGTTCAAGGCCAGTCTGACATACCTAGTGAATTCCAGGCTAACCAGGGATACTTAGTGAGACCCTGTCAAAGTAATAATAATAAAATGAGTTTTTGTGACACTGAGACCTTTCTGGCTCCAGCTCCACTTCAGCAGCATCCTGATCACTGGCAAGCTTGGAACCTGCACAGGCCAAGCCATCTCTTCTCTCAGCCTGACTCCTTCAGGAGACACAGCTGCTTCCCTTATAGTAGCCAAACTTCATGGCTACAGTTGAAAGTCCAGAGCCAGATGGGTGCAGTTCAACCTGTGAAATGGGCAGAAGATACAATGGGTCCACCCCACTGTAAAGTTTAGTCTTTGCTGAACATCTGAAACTAGGGTGTAGAGCCATATTTGGTGTTTTTCTTTCACACATCTGAATTATTACTCATGTAGCTTCATTATTGATTTTTAGTAATAATTGGTATGCAATGTTTGCTACTCTCACAGGATACAGTATGTGTGACAGCAGAGTTTTTGGTAACAGAGAATTAAGTCCCAGCTTTTCTATTTACTAGTTATATGATACAAGCAGACATTTAACCTCACCAAGACTCATTTCAATACTATCAAATGAAAATAAACAACAGTAATAATAATAATAATACACCATAGAAACAATCTATCTAAAAGACTATATGTGGTCCAACACCTCTATAAGTGTAGACATTAATATTCATGTACCTGGGGCTGGAGAGATGGTTCAGTGGTTATGAGCACTGGCTGCTCTTGCAGAGAACCCAGGTTCAACTTCCAGCACTCACATGGTGACTCACAACCACCTGTAACTCCAGTCCCAGGAGATCCAGTGCATTCTTCTGGCCTCCTTGGCATCAGTTGTACAAGTGGCACACAAATATGCATGCAGGCAAATACATATATGTAGTATAAAATAAATAAAACTTAGAGTATGTATGTATGTATGTATGTATATATTCATTCATGTACCAGTAGTATATGTAACTAGCCCTTCTACCAGTCCCTTCCTCAGTTTGTAGACAGCAACTTGGAAACCCATATAAATCAATTGGTACAATCGAAATTATATAGCAAAAAGACAAAACAAAAATGGACATCTGGGAAACCTGCTCTACATGTTTGCATGTCCTTCTTGCTATTTACAAGAGTTGCTTTTTCTTTTCTTTCTTACCGTTATTGTGCCAACTTGAACAATCTTTCTTTTAGATTTTTAAGCTTTATTTTTTTTATGTGCAGGGATATTTTGCCTGTGTCTGTCTCTTTGTCTTCTATCTCTCCCTCTCCCATCCCCTCCACCGCCACCTCTCTTTTAAAAGCCATAGCCCCTTTCTGTCATTTTTAAAACCTTCTGCCACCATTTCTACCACCATATACATAGGCACCACCATAGCATCAATACAGTCAGGCTGGGCATGACCAGGTAGCAATTTTATCTCCATTTTGAGACCAGACTCACTTCTTCTATCCTTGTTTCTAATGTCCATACTTTCTTTTGTTTTTCAGGATTCCAGCCAGGCAATTCCTCTGGTGGTAGAAAGCTGCATTCGGTTTATTAGCAGACATGGTAAGCAAGAACACAGCTTTGCTCATTTTTGTGAAAAAGTCAGAACGTCAAAGAACTCTTTATAGAACAAAAATAGAGGTAGTTGAGCTGGAGAGATGGTCAGTGGTTAAGAGCACTTGCTGCACAACCATGAGGACCTTAGTTTAGACTCCAGAACTTACACAACAAGGACATCAGGATTTTTTTTGTTTGTTTTTTCGAGACAGGGTTGTTTCTCTGTAGCTTTGGGGCCTGTCCTGGAACTAGCTCTTGTAGACCAGGCTGGTCTCCAACTCACAGAGATCCGCCTGCCTCTGCTTCCTGAGTGCTGGGATTAAAGGTGTGTACCATTACCGCCTGGCAAACAGCAGATCTTATGCACAACTTTACTCTAGTGCTATGGAGGGCAAAGGCAGGAAGATCTCTGGGGCTTGCTGGCTGCCACCCCAACCTAAAAAATTCTGAAGATTCAGGTTCAGGGGAGAGACACGGCCTCAAAGGACTAAGGCAGAGAGTATTATACTAGAACACAGCCAACACTATTCTCTGGCCTCTGTTAGCTACACATAGGCACACATATACGTATATGTGCATATATACCAGAGAGAGCAATAGAGATTGCTTTCCCATCCTCACATTCTTAGAAAAGGAATAAAATCTTACTTATTCATGTAATATTTTCTCCTTCAGAAAGGCCATATCTACATGTTGAAAATAGACATGTTTGACCACTCACCATGCTCAACCTCCAGAATTTTAAAACCAAGCTACTTTGTAAAGAAGTGCAGCTGGGCCCTGTGGTAGTGCTAGTGAAGCCAGTAGTTATAGCCTTGGTGTGTGTGTCTCCTACAGCGTAGCCCAACCATTTTGTCCCATTGGCTGTACCAGAATGGTTTGAAACAATTCCATCCTCTAATGTTGCACTGACTGCATATATTTGGATTTTTGTCTTAATTTGGTCTCAATGGATACAGTGTCCCCACAAGCTTAGTTGATAAATGTCCTAAAGTTATGTCCATCTTTTGTGTGACTCCTTCTCAGTATCTGTCAAATTGTACTTGCCCTTCTGTTTGGGCAAAGCTAAGAAATTTATTTCTTAGATTTATTATTGAATCAGTAATTATTTTAGCATTCTTATAGCTTGTCCTGCTTTCCATCAACTATAAATTTTTAATGTTATCTCAGTTCACTTGAACTAAGAGCACTATTCATCACTATTGAACAATCAGCAAATAAGCCCCTGACTAAGCTTAGCACCATGTATTGCCAAGAAAAAAAAAAAAGAATTCATACACTATTCTTGTCTCTAAGTGGTTTTATGATGCATTTGGAAGAAAATAAGCAGATAGTAACTTAATGCAAAGAAATAAAGTAGTAGTAATCGACAGTAACAGAATAAGAAATTTACCAGATAGCAGTAATTAGTACCAAGGAGCTGGCAAAGATGAATCCAAGCTGAGTTCAGTAGAAGAATAATTATTGTTTTTTAAAGAACAATGAGAAGAATTTGTGGATTCATTCATCCATGCATTCACTTGTTCATTCAATACAAAGTCTATATTGATTGCTTATATAGACCAGTAAAAAGGTTCTTCCTGGACCTTTTGTTCCTCTGAAGAACAAACAGATGACCTGTCAATACACAAATTGACTTTCAATATTTCTGGTGTTGATGTATGTCACAAAGAAAAACAAAGCAAGGTGCAGGGTGGAGAACGGAGAGCAGCACTGTTGTTGCAGATCACAGAAAGCCTCTTCACATTTGAGTAGAGTTGTGAAGAAGAGGGAAAGAGATGTGTCCCTCTGAGGAAGAGCATTTTGTGGAGAGAGAACCAAAGTGCAGAAACTATTGACATATGTAAGGAAAAGCATACAGGCTGAAGCAGGAGTGAAGGGAGGCTGACAGGAGTTAAACACACAGGCCAGGGCTCCTATGAACTTGTTGGCTACAGTAGGTATTGGGTCTTATTCTGAGTGAGATGGGAAGCTGTTGGAGAACAAGAATTATGTATTTGAAGGGTCCCTGGGTGCTGCCTGGGGATTAAAACCAGAAGAAGGAAGGAGGAAGCTTCTACAGTAAGCCACAGATGTCTTAATACCCTAGACTAGTAGGGTATTAGCCATGGTGTTAGCTGAGACATGAAAATTTACATTATTATGGCTTGAACATACCTATCTCTACACCTGCACAGACACAGTTCATGAAGAGACAAAAATAGAGACCATCTGTGTGGGGATGAAGACTAGGGCAACTCAACTTGAAAGCAATTTTGACAATATTTAGTAAAACAGTATATGCACTTACCACTCAATCTGGTAATTTTTCTAGATATTACTGTGAAGGTGGGCCTCAAACAGTGTTTAAAAAAATTAAAACAAACCTGTGCATAAGACTATTTTCTACAGCATTATTTATAATTGCAAATATTAAAACCACCCTGAGTGCCCATATGTAGAAGAGTGATTGAAAAACTTACAGTATGTCCATACAGTGGAGTAGTATATCACTGGGAAGATGGTGAGCAAGGGTTCTATAGGCTGATACAGAGAGATTTCTTGGCTATATTGTTAAGTCAAAAAACAAAATGCAGAAGAGAGTATACTGTGCTTTTACATAAGACTGAAGATTTACAAATATATTGACTATATGTGTCTTCTCATTTCTACAGAAAAATACAGGAACAGTGAGTCTAGAAGCTTGTGTTTTGCTGGTTGGTTATTATAAGTAGACAGTAGATGCAAAAAGCAGAGCAATGGAAAATAAAGAATGAATATATTCTCTTGTGTAGTTTTGACTTTAATGTTAGGGTTCCCATATATGATAGATAGATAGATAGATAGATAGATAGATAGATAGATAGATAGATAGATAGAT